TTCTGGCACTTCGGTTGGAGTGGGGCCCCTGTGTCGCTCGAGCGGTGCAGGCGGCTCCATTCCGACCGTCGTTGCTGGAAGGTTCCAGCCTTGTCCGCTTGAAGTGTCCAATCCAATCCTCCTCCTCTCTTCCTCCTCCGCCTCCTCTCGTCCTCCTCCCTCTCCTTTTCTGCCCATCCCTGCCTCTGCCCTCCGCACGCGTCAACCATTTTGGCACACGTCTCACGCGTTTCGTGGCCCCATAGGGAGCTTCACCGAAGGACCCAGTGGCGGTGTTCGCATGCCTCCCCGCCACCCAAGTCGGCACACCTCTCGCACGCTTCGTGGCCCCATCGGGAGCTCCACCGAAGGTCCCAGTGGCGGTGTTCGCATGCGTCCCCGCACCCGATTCGGCACACCGCTCACAAGCCTCGTGGCCCCACAGGGAGCTCCACAGAAGGCCCCAGTGGCGACGTTCGCGTGCGTCCCCGCTTTCGCTACCCCTCCCAGGTTTCGTGGCCCCATAGGGGGCTCCACCGAAGGCCCCATGTCTCAGGTTTCAGGTGCAACCTGGTCAGCGAGCCAGCACACATGCCAGGAGGCGGAAAAGGCGGGAGCCTGGGATGAGTCTGACTCTGACCCCGCGCCTCCGTTCCCCACCAAACAAAAGAGAGGCTCAGGCATCAGACTCAAATGCGGACCTGTCCCAGGGAGCTCACCTTAGACAAGCTTCTGTCTCTCGCTGCACTTGCGAGACGGCTTACAATGACCCAGCACCAACTTACAGGGAGATCGGGGCCGGTCGCCCTGGACAGATGCAGCTTGTGACCTCTGCGGTCACAATGAGGGTGAGTTCAATCGAAGAGGGAAAAACGCCAGAAACATTTTTTGAGGTCCGCGCCGATGTCTTGGATCCGCGCTGGGCCACCCAACGGCGCCTCCGGCGCTGCCCCTGGCGCGCTCTGCGCGCCAGGGGGGGTGACCCAGCGCAGATCCAAGAAATCCGCGCGGAGCGCCAACAGTTTCTGCTTAGGTCATTTATCCTTCTTTGCTTGCACCTCCCTCTAGACTCAGGGCCCACGCGACGAAGGCACCGAGATCACTGCCATGTAGATTCTTCAGACCTCCACACGGAATCGGGAGGGGGGAGGAGGTAGAGATTGAGGAGCGCGTGGTCCACCCCTTGCAACCCCCTCGAGACTCAGGGCCCACGCGACGCAGGCACCGAGAACACCGCAATTTAGATTCCTCAGACCACCACGCGAGATCGGGGGGAGGAGAGGGGGTGGGCGGGGCCGCTGCTCAACCCACGCACGGCAGATCTCCCCGACCTGCTCTTGCAGAGATGGCCACTCAGACAATGTCTTGCCAATGCTAGTCAAGCATGGTCAAACAGGTAGTCAGGTGACGATGTTCGTATTTTCTTGATTGTTTTTTGAATATTTCCCGACCATTATGTGGTGTTGGGTCGTCGTTTTGAAGAGACGGTCCCCGCGTTCTCTTCCCTTCCTTCTTCCTCCCCCCCTCCTCCCTCCTCCTCCCTCTTCTCCCTCCTCCATCACCCCCCCACACGTTTCGTCGCCCCATAGGGAGCTCCACTGAAGGTCCCAGTGGCGCAGTTCGCATGCGTCCCCGCACCCGATTCGGCACACCGCTCACACGCCTCGTGGCCCCACAGGGAGCTCCACAGAAGACCCCCAGTGGCGACGTTCGCATGCGTCCCCGCCACCCAAGTCGGCACACCTCTCGCACTTCTCGTGGCTTCATAGGGAGCTCCGCTGACGGTCCCAGTGGCGCAGTTCGCATGCGTCCCCGCCACCGATTTCGGCACACCCCCCACACGCTTCGTTGCCCTATAGGGAAGCTCCACCGAAGACCCCAGTGGCTGTCTTCGCATGCGTCCCCGCCACCCCCTGTCGGTATACCCTCTCACAGGTTTCGGGAGCTCCACCGAAGCCCCCAGTGGCGGTCTTCGCATGCGTCCCCGCCACCCCCTGTCGGTATACCCTCACAGGTTTCGTGGCCTCATAGGGAGCTCCACCGAAGGCGTCAGTAGCGGTGTTCGCAGGCGTCCCCGCCACCCATTCCGGCACACCTCTCGCACGCTTCGTGGCCCCATAGGAGCTCCACCGAAGGCCCCAGTGGCGGTGTTCGCATGCGTACCCGCCACCGTTTTCGACAGTCCCTTCACACGCTTCGTTGTTCCACAGGGAGCTCCACCGAAGGCCCCAGTGACGGTGTTCGCATGCGTCCCCGCCACCCATTCTGGCACACCTCTCGCACGTTTCGTGGCCCCATAGGAAGCCCCACTGGAGGCCCCAGTGGCGGTGTTCGCATGCGTACCCGCCACCCATGTCCGCACACCCCTCACACGTTTGTGACCCCATAGGGAGCTACACAGAAGACGATACCCACAACTGAACAACTGCGTTACTCACAATTGCATATGGTTGGGTCCTTCGCCAGGCTATTTCTGATTTTTCTTCCAAAGTCCGCCTGTAGGGGGACCTCTCCGGCGCACCCGCGAGGTGGGTGCCCGCGCTGCCCCAGCCAGGCCTCGACGCCTCCCTCGGCGCGGGCGCGGTGGCGCCCGCCAGGAGCGCCCGGCAGCGCTCGGGCATCTTCTCGACCGCACGGCCAGCGGCCAAGGCTCTGGATCGGGCCGAGGATCGAGGGTCGAGGATCGCCGAAGGGAATTTGGACGCTCTCGTCGGCTCCCGGAGGTGATCCTGCCTCGGGGTGCGTTCTAGCAGCCGCGCCTCGCCGAGAGCGTCAAGGAGTGCCCGATCGTCCCGGAGGGCCGCCGGGGACCCCAGGTACGACCCGAAGACGAGGTAGGCTACATGTAAGAGTGGCCCTTCGCCAGAGTGACCTTCGGTGCGCGGCCTTCGGGGGGCGCGGGGGGTACCCGACCCAGGCACGCAGGCGACCCAGGCTGCTGCTGTCGCAGCGCACGCAGCGATCGGAGCAGCCGCGCACCAGATCCTGCGACCACGTGCGAAGCCCACCCCTGTGGGCCCAGTCGGCTCCAGGGTGTTGGAGAACCCTGTTTGGGTCCACTTGGCCGCAAGCATTTTCCATATTCTGAAACCCTGCTGGTGTTTCAGAGACCTGACCCGCAGGGGTACGCTTCACATGTGGTTTGCCTACTGGGTGAGCATCCCCCAGTGCCGCCTCGAACGACGGCCGCTTCTGCCTCCACCCTCCACGCATGCCGAACCCGCCCCCCGGTCGCGATTCCAATGAGGAGGAGGAGGAGGAGGAGGAGGAGGAGGAGGAGGAGGAGAAGGAGGAGGAGGAGGAGGAGGAGGAGGATGAGGAGGAGGAGGAGGAGGAGTGTGTGATGATGAGGAGGAGGAAGAGTGGAGGAAGAGGCGGAGGAGGAGGAGGAGGAGGAGGAGGAGGAGGAGGTGGAGGAGGTGGAAGAGGAGGAGGAGCATGAGTGGAGGAGGAGGAGGAGGAGGAGGTAGGAGGAGGAGGAGGAGGAGGAGGAGGAAGAAGAAGAAGAATAACAATAATAATAATAATACTATTAATAATAATAATAATATAATAATAATCATAATAATCATAATAATAATAATAACAATAATAGTAATAATAATAATATTATTAATAATAATTAATATGAAGAAGAGAGAGGAGGAGGAGGAGGAGGGGAGGGAGGAGAGAGGGGGAGGAAGAGGAGTGGGGGGGAGAAGGAGGAGGAGGATGAGGAGGAGGAGGAGGGCGAGGAGGAGGGAGGAGGAGGACGATGAGGGAGGGAGGGGGGAGGGAGGGAGGGAAGGAGGAGGATGAGGATGCGGATGAGATGAGGATGAGATGAGGATGAGGATGAGTAGGAGGAGGGATGAGGATGAGGATGATGACATGATGAGGATGAGGATGAGGATATGATGATGAAGATGAAGATGAAGAAGTGATGATGATTGTTGATGATGATGCTGATGATGATGATGGCTGATGATGATGATGATGATGATGCTGATGATGATGCTGATGATGATGCATGATGACATGATGATGATGATGATGATGATGATGATGATGATGATGATGATGATGATGATGATGATGCTGATGATGTTGATGATGATGCATGGTGATGATGATGATGATGATGATGATGATGATGATGATGATGATGATGATGATGATGATGATGATGATGATTGATGATGATGATGATGATGACGAGGAGGAGGAGGAGGAGGAGGAGAAGGAGGAGGAGGGGGGGGGGGTAGGGGGGGGGGAGGGGGGGGAGGAGGAGGGGGAGGAGGAGGAGGAGGAGGAGGAGGAGGAGAAGGAGGAGGAGGAGGAGGAGGAGGAGGGAGAGGAGGAGGAGGAGGAGGAGGAGGAGGAGGAGGAGAGGGAGGGAGGAGGGGGGAAGAGGGGAGGTGGGGAGGGAGGAGGAGGGAGAGGGAGGGAGGGAGGGAGAGGAGGGAGGGGGGGAGGGGGAGAGGGAGGGAGAGAGGGAGGAGGAGGATGAGGAGGTGGGGGAGGAGGAGGGCCCCCCTTGCTCACCCTGGGGTCCTCGAAGGACATCCCACGATCCCGACCCCATCGCGCGAGATCCATCGAAGAACACCAGACTGCCCGAGCATAAGCTCTCGGAGCGCCGCGCGGATTTCTTGGATCTGCGCTGGAGCCACCTGACGGTGCCCTGGGGCGTCGCCCCAAGTGGGCTCCGCGCGCCAGGGAGCGGGCTCAGCGCAGATCCACGACTTCTGCGCGGACCTCCGAACGTTTATGTTCATGTAGTTTTTTCTTCCCCCTACCTACGCGACATGAGTCATTCCTCAAATGGCCTTGCCTTCCAGGATCGAAGGAGTTGCCATCTCTTCCCGGACGGAAGGCGGCGGAAGGCTGGCAGAAGGCGGCGGAAGTGAAACGAGGCCTGGCCCACGGAAACTGGCGGAAGTTGACATCTGCCACCGTTGGCAAGGTTTTTTGTTCAGGTTGTTTGAACCTGCCATATGCCTCGCGATCGATCCGACTTGATGTCGACTCCAGCCGGCCGGATCCGATTCGATTCCGATGCTCGGACGGCCCGATGCCGTACTGGGTGTCTCTCTTTGCCTTGTGGCCACTCTCCGGGGGTTGCTGGAGGTGTCCCTGGCCCAAGTTGAGCGACGGAAGAAAACTGGGTCGTCTGCGCGGACATTGGCACGTTAGCTGCCCGCGTAAGGTCTCGCGCAAGGGCTCTGGTCTCCACTGTTGCATGCCGCGCTGGCGGCCCGAGCAAGCCGCGGCGCAAGGTCGTCTGTCGTCTCGCGCAAGACCAGTTTACTTTCGTCATTTCGGTGCCCGCAGCTTTTCGGTCCATTTTGGGCCTCCTGGGGCCCTCTGGGCCTCGTGATGGGGTGCTCTGGAGGCCGTGGGTGGCTCCGTGGGAACCCTGGGGACACCGTGGGCCATGGACCCCACCTAATTGAATTACTTCGACCCCAGATGGTGTCGACATGATTGGGTGCGGTCAGTGGATTGCGCCGCATCGCCGATGCATCGGCGATGCGGCTCGATGTGGAGTCCGATTTTCTCCACGCCGACGTCGCCGATGCATCGTCGACGTCGCTGATGCACCGACGATGCATCGGCAACGCATCGGCGATCCAGCGTGATCTTCCGACCCAATCTATTCGGAACCTACCTGGGTGGCCTCCAGATACTAAGACGACCCAGCGCCTACCCGGGAGTCAGTCGTGCCTTGGGGCCGCTCTTGCTTGTCTTGAGGCAAGCGGGTTTCTGACGGAAGCGGGCCCTTAGGTGTTTCATTGTCTTCGGGCTCTCGGGGCACTCCCCGAGTCCTGAGACTGTTCAAGACTCAGGATGAGGAACTGGTCCAGGGGGGTGGCGGGTGCTATCCTTTGCTTGTACGGTTGCAACAATGGTGTCCCGAGAAGTTTCCAATCACCAAACACCACGTTCATCGGCATCACCATCACCATCAGCACCACCATCCCCATCCTCATCAGCATTACCTGTGGCGGCCTTACTTAATGGTTTTTATGAACACATCGGAGACACAGTGAAAACAGTTTTGCCACACGGGAAAAGAGAAAGCTAGGAACCCCTGTGGTTGTCGCCATCTCCATTGTGCAGACACCCCACCCTTCAAATTCTTGAGTAGCAGTGTTTGCACAAGGATTCTTCTTGTGAGGATTATTCGGTTCCTAAGCGTGGGGGGTCTGCAGTGGCGTCCAAAAGCGAGATCCTCTTGCAGCGACCTTGTCAGCATGAATCTGTTGTGGCGATCTTACGCGCGATTAAGTGCGAGGGATTTGCAGAGGCGGCGACATGGAAGCCTGTCAGTTCCATAAGCACTGCAACAAACATGACAAGTAATAGAACAGCGGTGTGCTCACAGGGGGACATCGGGAAACACCAGGTAAGCATGTGAGGGTCGTTCGTCTTACGGTGCATACGCCCCACACGTCAATTCATTTGTAGCAGTTTTTGTCAAATGACTCCTTTTTTTGAACGGGGATCCTCCAATAGGATTGTACATGTTGGGGTTCTGCGTTGGCCTCCACACTTGAAATATTTTTATCAGCGGACTTGACACAGGGATTCCTTGTGTGGCGATCCTAAACAATTGTTTTAATCGTGGAGGGTCTTTGGACTTGGCGCCGTGTGAGCCTGGACGCTCGATCGGAACACCGGACGCACAGGAAAACAGTGGACACCTTGTGCTTCCGTTGGGGGAAAAAGAGAAAGCGAGGACAATATGTGACTGCCGCTCTTTCTTAGTATGCGGATGCACCACATTTACAATCCCTTTGTAGCAGCTTTTGCACAGGATTCATTCGGTAGCTGCCTTTGTACATCGGTTCCAATTTTGGGGACTCGCGACGGATTGTGAAGCAAATCCCCCGAACTTCGAATCCTTTAGGAACATCCCCGCAACAATGATTGAATCTTTTTGTAAGGGCTGCCACGCTCGAAAAACAACTGTGGGGCACTGCGTAATACAGATAGCGGCAGTGACATAATGTCATAGTTTTTCTTTTCCCCATGGTAAAGCACATATTGTCCATTGTTTCTAATGCTTATTTCTTTTGCCCGTGAAGCTTCCAAGCTCCCACGGCGCCGCCCCTGCAGATCTTCCACGTAATGAATCCATGTTGTAAAGGCCAGGGTCAGAGGATTGCAAGTGCGGAGGCCACTGCTAATCCCTCGCACTCGGAACCTTTGTGGGAATATCTCCAACATAGCAACAGCGATAGTCACAGTTGTTCTCAGCTGGTTCCTATGTCCCACGTGAAAGCGCAGCTTTTTGAATGTAAGAAGCTTTCGCGCTCCCACGGCGCCGCCTCTGCAGACCCACACCCTAAGCATCTTTTTGTATGACCACCACAGATAGGAATCCCTGGAAGACTGCAAGAGAAGAAATCCCGTGAAAGGCTTCCTCAGGTATGATCCTTCTGTCAGGCCGTCACAACATTACTTATTCAGCAAGGGCGCCGCAGGATCATCACACGTTTACGGAAACAACACGGAAGCAGACGGATGTAATCGCGCGAATAAAGGGTCCTACGGGGGAGGTCCAGGAGTCCAGGGCTCGTTTTCCTCAGGACCCGTTCCCAGGCATTCTCCGACATTATGTTGTCAATCCACAGCCCCAGAGGTCCCGATCCCTTCCCTGGGGGTAGTTTTGCGTCCCAGATTTGTTTTCGATGGTTTTGAGGCCTGGCAGCGAGCCCCAGCGGCGGAAATCGAGGAAACACGCCAGGATGGAGCAACATCAGGTCCTCGGAGATTTGTATCTCCAGTCTTGCGTCACAGAGGCAGTTCTTTTTTCTGGCTCTGGCAAGGTTTATTGAATCGCTTCGCTCATTCCGCCGGCCCATCTTCTATCAGTTTTGCTATATGTTGGCGCGTGCCCGTGGTGAGCGAGGAGGAGGAGGAGGAGGAGGAGGAGGAGGAGGAGGAGGAGGAGGAGGAGGAGGAGGAGGAGGAGGGGAGGATGGAGCTCCTTGGGAGCCCTCGGGAGCTTATTGGGAGATTCTTGGGAGCTCTTGGGGGTCTCTTGGGAGGCTTTCCGAGGCGGTCTTGGAGGGCTCTTGGGCTTTCTGGGGCCGTCTTGCGGCCCTTTTGGGCTGCTTTGAGGCCCCCTTGGAGGTCTCTTGGGCTGTCTTGGATCGATTTTGGAGGCTGGGCTCGAAGTGTCCGTTCGGGTTCTCCGTCTTGGCTCCCTCTTGGGGCAATCCCAGAGGCCATCTGGGGCTGTCTTGGAGGCCGTTTGGGCCGTCTTGGGGCCATCTTGGGCCGTCTTGGGACCTTTGAAGCCCTCTTGGGCCGTCTGGGGGCGATTTTGATGGCCTCTTGCGCTGTCCTGGAGCGCCGGGAAACCGAACAGGTACAAACGCCCAAATCCTCCAATAATCCAAAGGAACTCAACGATTTTTTATGTCCTGGGGCCCTCTGGAGACGCTTCTTGGAGGCGTCTGTAGGCGTCTTCGAGGCGTCTGAGGGCGCGTGGAGGCGAACTTGGGCGTCTTGGACCGATCGGTCGGCGACTCGGAGCCCTCTTGGACCATCTTGGGGGCCTCTTGAGGCTCAGAGAGCCACCAGAGGCCCCCTAGATGTAAAGTAGAGGCCTTGGACCATCTTGGGGGCCTCTGAGGCTCTGAGAGCGCTCCACGAGGGTGCGGAAAACCGCCCGGGGGAGTTCTGGCATCCTTGGGCAGACCTTGCTGGGAGTCTGCCGGGACCTTGCTGGGTTTTTTTTCGTCCGGGGACCCGCAGGGGCCGCCCCGCGCGCGCGAACTAGAAACATTGTGGACCAGTTACCAGAGATCTTAGCACGCCGCTGGCCCGTTGGGCCGGCGAATTTGCATGGAGGGTGGGGGGGCGTGGCGAGGCCCGAAATGAGACCTGGACTCCACGCAAGGTGGGAGTCATTTGCGTGCCTTTTCGGCCCTTCGCTGTCTGAAAAGGAGGCCGCGCGGGGGGGGGGGGGGGGTCGAAGTGCCATGCACGCAAATTCGCCTGAGTCAAGCCTTGAGCGCTCGAACCGAAGGCGCCGAGAGGGGAGTCGCCGCGTGCAGCCGCAGGCCAGGCGCCGCTGGCGCTCGCGCCCGGAGCGTCCGAGCCGCCGCCGGGGCTCGGGCTGCGGCGCGTCGGCGGGGCTTGCCGCGGCGGGGCGGGGGGCCAGGAGCCGGGGAGTCAGAGGCAATGGAAGTCTAGGATGGGGTCCGAGTAGGGTGGGCCAGAGGATCGCGCCGCATCGCCGATGCATCGGCGATGCGGCTCGATGCGGAGCCCGACTTTTTTTACTCCGGCGCTGCCGATGCAACGCCGACGTCCTTCGACCCCATCTATTCGAACCCCATCTGGGAGCCTCTACAGGAGCCGTGGAAGCAGAGGAGATGAACAAACGGCCTCGGGGAACGGGTCGGAACTTCCCTAGGGAGATCCAGATTCGAGTTTCGAGGTTCGAGGCCTTCGGTCGTCGGGTCCTGGCGGTTTTCCAGCCTCGGGATGCGCTTCGGCAGCTGCGCCTTGCCGAGGGCGTGGTCGGGGGTGCCCGGATCGTCCCGAACGGCCGCCCGAGACCCGAGATGTGATGCGAAGACCGCATGCCAAGCGCCCCAATCGCCCATTGATCGCCGATGAGGGTCTGGTAGCCCGCCCCGCCCAGGATCATGCGGCTTCCCCACCGGGGGCCGATTGTTGATTTCTCGGCCATGGGCCGGGGAGTGAACGCATGAAGGAAGGCGCCGACGCCGCTGCCCGATGCCAATGTCCAAGGGAGGAGAAATCACCCGGACCGGACAATTGGCGTTTGCTAAACGGCCTTGGGCTTTTGCTAAACAGCCCTTGGATTCCTTCAGTGGGGGCGTTTGGTAAACGGCTTCGCGAGTCGGGGTGGTTATTACGGGGTGCTGTTTTTTTGCCCTCTGAATGTCCCGATTCGCCCGCCCTCCTCCTGAGCACTCGGTCCGACAGGCCACGGGCCCCGGCTGGCCCCGCTCGTCGGGTCCGCGGCGGCAGCCCGGTCCGCGGGCCCCGGGCCGTGGGCGGCTCCTCGGGCGGGCCCCGCAGCGGCAGGGAGCCGAGCAGGCTCGGAGGGTGCCCATGAGCGGCAGGCTCGGAGGAGGTCCTCGGGGAGGAGGCCCGCGAGGTGCGGAGACCGCCCGCCTGCGTCCGTCCTTACGAGGAGGACAGCGTACAGCGATGCGTGCCTCGCTGTCGCCCTTCCTTGGGGGGCCTCCCGGGAGGCCCTCGTCGCGACAGCGGCGTGCGCCGGAAGGTTCTGGTCAGAGCGCAGCCCAGGAGACGAAAGGACGAGTCTGTCGTCGCCCAACGGCAACCCCACGAGGGGCGGCAGGCGCGCCAGACGCGTTTCGGCCTCCAGGAAGGTCAGGCTGCAGCAGGGTGCGGGTTGTGAGGCGACGGAAGACTAAAGCGAATCAGCGCCAGAAGCTGCCGGCGCCAGGAAGCTAGCGCTCTTGCAAGCAAGGCAGGCGCGCTGGTCGCGCGCAGGCCTTCCAACAAGGTCGCTCGAGGCGGGATTGTACTGAGCTGGAGTGAAGCATGGAACGTTTGCACGAGACGTCGTGCAGTAATCGCCAAGCGTGCTGCAGGAAATTCCGCTCGCTCTTATGCCATGCCAGGAGTCGGAATATGAGGACCATAAGGCATGGGAGCGAGCTCCCAGCCGCAGACTCCCCTAGTGCAGTCGCAGGGGATGGTTCGGGGATTTCTCTTGCTCTCCCCTTCCTTCCTGCTCCTCCTTCTACCTCCTTCACCTCCTCCTCCCCCTCCTGGACATGAGTGAGGGGAGCCGAGCTTCAAGCAGTGAGCGCGTTAACAAACTGCCCCCCTGACAATCCAATCAACGGACCGAGTGCGAGCACATCCGAATTGCGAGGCAAGCCGCTGTACATATAATAATGCCACAACAACGCTGAGTGTATAGCTGCCATCAGCATTAGGTCTACTGATGAGTCGCCAGAAGGGATCGGCCCGACCATCCCGCGAGGGAGAGATGAAGCATGGGATGAATAATGGAGGCTGTTCATACTTCCTCTCTCGCGGAATGCTCCCTTCTTTGTTTCCCTGCTTCCTCTCTCTCTCTCGCGGGATATTCCGTCCGCTCCCTGATGGTGTTTCGGTATCAGTCCTGATGCTGTTGGCAACAACTCTTTCAACTTTGCAATGATATTATTCTATGCTCATCGGCTTGCCACGCAATTCGAAAGTGCTCACACTCGGTTATCGACCGTTCGAGCGTATCTTCGTATGCCTTTCCTCGGCCCTCATGCATATATATATATATATATATATATATATATATATATATATGGGCTTGGCGGCGTGGCGGTTGATTGGATGAAGCCCCTTGAGCACGCTCGACCTCCTCCTCTTCCTGTTCCGTCCTCTTTTCTTCTCCTCCTCTCTCCTTTTTCCTCCTTCTCCTCCTCCCTCCTCTTTCCTCCTCCTCCTCTTCCCTCTTCCTACTCCTCCTTGTCCCCGGCCTGGGGTATTGCAGGCTGCGCGACAGCATTAGATATCGTCTAACATCTAACTCTGCCGCTGTTGGTCAGGGCGACGTTCGTCGAAAGGACAACGTCCGCGGCGACACCAAAAGCGAATCCTCGCAGTCACCATGACGTAAACATGAACTTCAAGAGCAGGTCGCTGTCTTATCCTTCCTCCTACTTCTGCTGCTCCTCTCGCCTGTCTTGTGCAGTGATTGGCTTGCCGATGTGGCCGCTTGGGCCATTCCGCCCGGGCCAGATGAATGTTTCATGTGACCCGCCGCGATTCTGCTACACGGAGTGCATCCGGTGCATTATGAGATGCGGCGTCGCGTTCGTCTCCTCAGCTCTGCCCCTCCTCCTCCAAAGTTGCGCGAGGTGTTGCTACACAGAGTGCGCCTGGTGCGTGACGATGCAGCGTCGCGCTCGTCTCCTCGGCTCAGCTCCGCCTCCACCAGATTTGCGCGAGGGACAAGATCGCAGGAGCTTCAAAAGTTGCTCTCCCTCCTCTGGAAGTTGCGCGAGGAGAAAGAGCACGTCAAGACCACAGAAGCTTCACGAGGCCCGCGCAGGTTTGCCCGGGATCGGCGCAGGGCCCCGCTCGGCACCGATCCGAAAGAAAAATCCGCCGGGGCCCCCGCCAGTCTGTGTGTGTATGCCCACGCAGCTGCTTCTCTCTCCGAGCCCTGTGAGGACGACGACCCGCGCTCGTACGTGGTATTCACGATGCGAAGAGCAATACCCGGCATGAGCATCCCGCGAAGCTTGACATCGGGGGCGGCCGAGAGGGGGGTGATGGCCAGGGGGCGTGTGGATATCATGGCGGGGGCCAAGATCGTTTCCCGGCTTTTTGTGGCTTCCCTTTTGGTTTCAATGCGTCCCTGGCCCCCCCTTTTGCCGCGCACATGCCGCCGGCCATGATTTGCGCCCCCCCCCTCCTGGACAATGCAAACGGTGGTCAGTCAGGGCGCCATGTCTTGCAGGATCCTGCAGGGCCAGGGTCGCACGGACCCGGGTCTGGATGCAGGATCCTGCACGATCCTGCAGGATTTGCGAGATCCTGCGAGGCCTGACTGGCCCGGGTCTGGATTGGCTTGGGTCAGTAGATTCCCGAAGCTTGATACACATGGCGTGGCCAGCCTGGGCGACAGCTGGACACACGCGGCCAGATGTCTTTCCGGTGCTCGGCCTTCCTTGGCCGTGCACGCCGGGCTACCACATGAGTGACGCCAAAAAACCGGGGTCGTCTGCGCCGACATTGGCGCGTAAACTGCCCGCGTACGGTCGCGCGTGAGCGCCCTCGTCTTCAATGTAGCATACCGCGCTGGCGGCCCGCGCAAGGTGCCGGGTAAGGTCGCTGTGTCATCCTGTGTGAGGCTCGTTTGTTTTCGTCACCCACATGTGTAGGGGAACGAAGAATGACATACACATAAAGACTCGGTGGTCCGCGCTGATTTCTCCGCTGGACCCCCCTCCGGATCCTAGATGTCCGCGCGGGCCTCCGAGTTTTTATGTTTATGTCGGCGCCGGAGGCCCCGCCAGAGGTCCAGCGCGGATCCGAGAAATCCGCGCGGACCTCCTAGTTTTATGTTTATGTCATTCTTCGTTCCCCTAACATGTGCGTCCAGCTCCCAGCCCCTGGGTTCTTTTCGCGTGTGATTCTAGCCTCGCGTGTTCCTGGCTTCCCGGTGCCCTTTCGGTGAGAAGGCGAAAACCCACCCCCACCCCCAGTCCCGACGCACATCCCCGAGCCCGCGATCCAAGGGGTCGGTACTGGGGGTGGGGGTGGGTTTTCTTTATTCCTGGACCCGGAAAAACCACCCCTACCCCCAGTCCCGACCCCTTGGATCGCGGGCTCGGGGATGGGCGTCGGGACCCCTCCACTTCCATCTTCCACACCCTTCCGACCTCTGCGGAACTGGGGGTGGGGGTGGGTTTTCGCCTTCTGAGTCGGAGGGCCGCGCGGACGTCTCGGGTCGGCGTCGGGCCGGCTCTTGGCGGGTGCGCCTGGCGTGCTTCGCGCGGCTTCGGGGAGGGGGGCCCGGCGTGGGCCCACCGAAGTCTATGTGGGACTCCCCAAATCGGGGGCGGCCAAGAGTCAGGAGGGAAAAAAAAACAGAGACACAATTAATCGTCGACTCCCGGGAAAATGTAAGAAAACATGAGAAGTGGAGGGGGGAAGACGAAAACCCAGACAATATTGGGAAATATGGGGAATCCTGTTATTTGTGTGTATTTATTCGTGTGTCCCTGGGCCCCTTCAAAGAGGGCAGGGCTGGTTTCGATTTCTCCGATTCGATTCGATTCGACTTCGATGGCTTCCGACTGCGATGTGATTCGACTTGAGATTCCGATCTGGGCTCCGATTTCTTATTGGAGGCGTGAAAGCCTGCCGATTTCCGCCGATTCGACTCCTCCCGACTTAGCTGCCGATTTCCGCCGATCCGATTCATTTCGATCGCCGATCCGACTTATCGATTCTGATCTGGGCTCTCCTGAGAGGGGGGTGGTGACCAGGGGGTGGGGATAATCATGGCGGGGGCTATTATATCTCTCCGGGGGCTATTATATCTCTCCGGACCTCATGGCCCCCTCTTCTCCCTTCAATGCGTCTCTGGTCCTTCCCCCCTTTGTCCGCGCACGGCCTCGGGCCATGAGTTACTAACCTCCATCTTGGACATCCCCCTTTTGGCCGTCCTTGAAACAAGTGCATGCTTATGCCGTTTTTTGTTCCTCTACGATGGTGGACTCTCTTGAGGGCTGCAAGGACCTCTGCCGCGCGACCCCAGGCTGCGCGGGCGTCGAGTACGGGGAGTGCAGGATCCGACAAGCAGAAACCACATTCACATACATAATATCTATACACGCTATATATGTGTGCCTCTATCGGCATATCTAGATATACAGTGCGGGCAGCTCCAGCGAGTTTGCTGCCAGCGCGTGCTCCAAGCAGTGGCTTCTTGCACTCTGGAGATGCGCAATATACGGGATGTTACCTGTGTGGTGCGATCTAGATGGTGTGAGCTACGTGATGCCAGCCATGTTGTGCAAGCTATGTTTTGCATTGCATGTGTCTATGTATGTATATATATATATATATATGTATATATGTATATATATATATATATATACATATATCTACACATACACGCGTGTAGATATATGTATGCATCGATTTATACAAGTTCGCATGCTTTCCCAACGCTAATGCAGCGGGAATGACCCCCTCACCCATGGGCCTCATAGTGACCATGCCGCCCCTGAGCGTCCACAAGAAGGCTTCCAAATGGGTTCATTACATCCACGATACGTCCTAGCCCTCCACGGTGGTCCGAGGATCCCGCCAGGATGCCCCAACCCCGCTTCCAAGACACGTTGGCCATCATTACGAATGGAGATGGCTCCAAGACGGCCCAATTGGCTTTCAAGCCGCCCCGACTGGGCCGCATGAAGACGCCAAAGATGGCCTCCAGGGGCAAATCAAATACACGATGCTATTGTTGCCAACCATCCTGTGGCGTTGGGTCCTCGTGTGGACGAGACAACGCCCCGCGTTCCTACCACCTCCTCCTCCCCTTCCTCCCTCCTCCCATTCCTACCTCCGCCCTCCGCATGTCAACCGTTCTGGTACGCCGTCTACACCTTCGTGGCCCCATAGGGGGGCTCCACCGACGGTCCCAGTGGCACCGTCCGTATGCGTCCCCGCCGTCCATTTCGGCACGCACTTCATACGCGTCGTGGCCCTCCACCGAAGGCCCTGCGGCACCGTTCGCATGCGTTCCCGCCGCCCATTTCGGCACACCCTTCACATGTTTCGTGGCCCCATAGGGAGCTCCACCGAAGGTCCCAGTGGCACCGTTCGCATACGTCCCCGCCACTCATTTCGGCGACACATAACACTTCGCTGCTTCCTGGGGGCCTCTTGGAGGCCTCTTGGGGGTCTCCTTGGGCCTCTTAATGGGGCCTCTGGAGGCTTCCTGGGAGCCTCTTTGGCTGTCTCGGGCCGTTCCTGGCCCCCAAGATGCCGCTGGAAGGCATCTCTGAAACGACTCGGAGCCTTTTTGGGGTGTTCCAGGACCGTCTCGGAGGCCATCTTGGGCATTTTGGAGGCCTCCGGGGCCGTCAGGCGCAGGTCGCCCACTGCCGAGCGTCTTTCTCTTGCCGCCTCTGCGCCGCCGCTCCTCGTTTTTGTCGCTGTCGCCTGCGCTCGCCGAGGGAGGGGCGAGGAGGAGGAGGAGGAGCAGGAGAAGGAGGAGGAGGAGGAGGAGGAGGAGGAGGAGGAGGAGGAGGAGGAGAAGGCGGAGGAGGAGGAGGCGGAGGTGGAGGCGGAGGAGGAGGAGGCGGAGGAGGAGGAGGAGGAGGACGAGGAATCTCTGTGAGCCTCCAGAAACGCCAACAACGCTCGGGGCGCCCACTGGCGACCACAGGGCGACAATCCAGAAGGGCCAGCCAGCGCACGGGGCGGCCACGAGGCCCCCACGGGCGGCCACCTGGGCGAACAGAGGCGCAAGCAAGTCGGTAATCTACAGGTGGAGTGAGGGCCAGCAGATGAACCAGGTATCCGAACCCTCACACATTCGAGGGAGATTCTGCATCACCCCCACGCCCCCGACATCAATGCTCACCTCAGTCCAGGCGGTGCTTTGGGTCTTCGAATATTCATGTCCACTCGCGCCCCCTCCGTCGTCACGCCATCAATCTCAATTTTGGGGGGTCTGGGGGGCATCTCGGGCCACAGGGTTCGAACACAATGTCCATGCACGGGCCCCTGGTGCAAGCACTGTTTCTCGAACTATCCGAGGTCCTCGAGGTTTTCTTGGGTCGGCGCTTGGCGCCCCTGGTGGAACATCCAGCGCCGCCTCTGGCGCGCTCTGGGTCCGTCGCCGGCCTAAGGAATCCGCGCGGACCTTCGACAGTTTGTGTTTGTTTCGCTTCCCGTTCATCGAAGGAGGTGCGAGGTGTGGCTGGACGAGGTCGTGCATGTGGTTCCCCCGGGGGCAGCTCTCTGTCCCAGGCCTGTCTTTGGCACTGGGGCCCGAGAACGGCCCCCCGAGGCCGAAAAGGAATGAAAACGGTGGGATCGAACGACCCCTGGCGCTCCCTGGCGCTCCCCACTCCCCTCCCTCTTCCACCGTCCCCCCTCCCCCTCCTCGCTGCCCGCGCCTTGGCGCATGCGCTCGGCCGCGTTGACCAGCTCCAGCATCCAGCCGAGAGGGATCCGGAAAGGATCCGCGAGGGGGGTGGTTTGCGGCGCCCTGGGCCCCCCAAGCGGGGGCGCAGCCCAACGTGGGCATCGGCGTTCCCCGTGCCCCCTGCTCGCTGTGCCCCCTGCCTCGGGCGCTCCGAAGGGAGGAGGCCCGGGAATCAACTCCGCCCCCCATCCTCCTGCTCCTGCTCCTTCTTCTCCTCCTCCTCCTCCTCCTCCTCCTCCTCGTCTTCCTCCTACTCCTCCCGTTGCTGCGCGGCGGGTGCCGCGGAGAAAGAGTTATTTGTCCTGAATGGTGGGGCCCCAGTCCGTCAGGAAGGGCGCCGACCAAATAGTCAGTTTCCAACTCTTGGTTTCTTGTTCTGAAGTCCAGGTCACCGGCTCCGTCGACGCAGAGGGCTTCACCTGCCTGCGCGCGAGCGGGCCGGCGGCCGCGCCGCCTGGTGGGCGGGGGCCTGGGCCCCGCGGGGCTGGAGGCGGTCCTCGGGGGCGACGTTCGGGGGGGATGGGCTCAGGGGGCCTCCTCCTCCTCCTCCTCCTCCTCCTCCTCGTCTCCCTCCTCCTCCTCCTCCTCCCTCCTCCTCCTCCTCCTTCTTCTCCTCCTCCTCCTCCTTCTCCTCCTCCTCCTCCTCCTCCTCCTCCTGCTCCTCTGGGGGTGACGTTCGGGGGAGATATGCTCAGGCATAGGCTGAGAGGGATAGGCTCAGGGGTGATCGAGGTTCGAAGGTCAAGGTCTTCGTGTGTGTTCGTCGGTTCTCGGCGGTTTCCAGCCTCGGGGTGCGCTCTAGCAGCTGCGCCTCGCCGAGGGCGTTCTGGGGGTGTCCAGATCGTCCGGCCGCCGGAGAGCGGAGTTATGACCCGAAAACTAAGGGGCAACGTTAGGTGGGGACCTGCTCAGGGGGATGCATCGACCCGCACTCGCCCATGGATCTCCAATGGGGGCCCGATCGCCCACCCCGCCCAGGAGCGTGCGAATTCGTTCTCGGGGGCCTGTCGCCGATGTATCGGCGACGTATCGCCGAATCCAGCTCGATGCTTCCCCCCTCTGAGCCGCCCCCCCCTCCCCCCCTACGTTTCCCCTCAGGTCCGCTCGGCGAGTACGGCTTCCTCACGGACTTCGACGTGGAGCCCTTCGAGGCGAGGGAGCGGGTGCGGCAGCTGGCGCGGCACTTCGGGGTGCGCGAGTTCCAGTTCTACGACGCCATGTCGAGCTACTCCGGCCCGCCGGCCGAGGCCCCGCGGACGAGGGGGCGGCGCGGGAGCAGCAGCCGTGCCGCGGTCCGGGACGGGGCCGCTCCGAGGGGGCGGCGGCACCGAGGGGGCCCGAGCTTCCCCAGCCGCCCTGGGAGGGGGCAGCCCCGATGGCGGGAGCGCCTGCGGTGGGCTCGTGTCGTGGCGACTCTCGTCGCGACCCCGCCGCGAGCGTTCAGCGTCGCACGCCGCTGGCGACCCAGAATCGGTCGATGCTGAACGACTTGACGCTTCGGCAACAGCCGATCGCTCGAGGTGGCAGGGCCCCCGCGGTGTCAGGAACCAACGCTGGGGTCGAAACGACACGAACCCGCGGTATCGTACACCGCTCTCCTCGTCCATCGAGAGGCCGAGGGGGAGTGGAGGACCCCGTGCGGCGGGAAGCTGGTCCGGCGGAGCGCGCTGGAGGCATACGCGGACGAGGTCTCCGCCGTGGGCGGCAGGGCGTGGCTCTACGTGCAGGCCATGGGCACCGATCCCGGCGACGCAGAGGCGCAGGCTGGATTCCAGACGGAGGTCTGCGGACAAATCGTGGCACCACCCAGACATGCTTCTATTGTACGGGGGGCATTCCAGACAGGGCCTCGCCTTCGAGGGTCGAAGGAGTTGCCAGCTCTTCCTCGGCAGAAGGCGGCGTCATGGTGGCGGAAGCAGAACGGGGGCGGCTCCGCCGGTGGAAGGCCGACGGACGCCGGCGGACGTAAATCGACTGCACGTACAAGTGACCCTTCGCCGGAGTGACCTTTGGTGCGGGCCCACTGGGTCTCCCCGATCGCCGAGCGCGCTGCGATAGCAGCGTCTCGCGCGCTTGTGTTTAGCCCTCCCGCGGCCCCCAAAAAGCCGCACACCAAAGGTCACTCTTACACAGGGTCACTCTTGCGTGTAGCCGAGGAGAATCCTGTCTCCCAGGTGATGGCAAGGTTGTTTTGGTACAGGGGTTGCAGAGCCCGCCATATGAGCGTCGGTCACGCAAGGATGACGCGCACGCTCGGGACTCTTAGGGTATAATGAAGCTCCGTGGCGGGCGCTTTCTGGCCATACCGCTCGAGAAATGACGTATACTGCAAGATTTTGTGCTATGCGTCCGGGTCGCATGTGCGCCTCCAGCAGGGGAGGTCAGCGGACGAATCGGGCGCCCCAAATCATCAACAATGAAAGAACCCTCTAGCCCTGATGGCACCAGGGAGACGTAGCCCAGCTTAGGTTCCCGTCCTCGCACCAGTGATCACCATCTGCAGGAGAGAGGGCCCCTAGCCCTGGTGTTGGGCCCCTTCGCTTAGGTCCGCTCCCAAAAGGGCCAGGGGCCCCTGGACTGCCAACCGGCCCAGACCGTGTTGCGGGTCGGTGGCCTTCGGGGCGACAGCACGGTCTCGGAGCTCGGGCCGCTCTCCGAGGTTGCCTCGGCGACTGGGGCCTCCACGGTCCCAGAGCCGCGCGGTGGCCGACCTTGCTGTAAGTTCTTCGGGGTTTCGAGTTCACCGCGCCCTCTGTCACCGCACGGCCTTGGGACCCCCAAGACGAAGCACGGCATAGTCCATGCTCCCAATCTGGGACGCCTGTCGCGGGGTGGGCTGCAACGTTCATGGCCAGTAGCTGTTGCTTGGCACGTAGCGCCGCCCGTTCTGGCGCCACCGCGCTCCGGCGCGGCACGCCAGGCACGTCCCCGGCCCCCAGCCTTCACCGTCCCGAGCCTCTCCCAGCCCCCCGTCCCACGCAGCACAGCGACACGCTACGGTGGGGGCGTTGGTGAAGGAATGTGCCCAGGAGGCTTCAGACCCTGGAGGGCTCCTTACGTGATGAGGGCGTCGGTGATATCCACGGCCAAGCCTCGATTGGAGTTCCTCCGGCCTCCAGACCCTGGATTCCTTATCCAAGGGTTCCTTATCCAATGCCCCACCGTATCAGCTTGCAAGGCATAGCGTGGCGCAGGGGCGGCCGCCGCGACACGCTAGGGAGCATTTCTTCATCGTCGCTGTCTCATGATGTTACTAAGAGGACTTGTAGCAGTCATATAATAAGCAACAGCAATCAACAGCAATATTACTACTGATAATCGTAGAGTCACATTGCCACACATACGCAGTATCATAGAATTATGCGCCCGCCTTCCACCGTGGGGGTATAAACTTTCCAGTCGCTCTGGGACCGGCATCCCCGAGGGCGGAACAGTTTGCTCTTTTACCGCTCCCCGTGCCCTGAAGAGGGCACGCACTACTGCGGAGACGACCCCCTCCTGGACAAGGTCTTCCCGTCCCCGGGGTGGGCCGAGCGCGTGGCCGAGAGGTGGGCTGAGTTTGCCGCCTCGATGGGCTTCGGGGGCATCCACTGGGACACCCTGGGCGAGGGCGGCGACCTGCCGGGATTCCTGAGGGCCGCGCGGCCGCTGCTGCACGACAGGGGCCTCGCGCAGAGCTGCAACTTCGTGGGCGGCAAGGCGTGGAACGACTCGCTGGCCCTGGACGGGGTCGTAGCCTTTCCGTACTGGGAGGTCTGGACCTTAGGGTCAGCGATCGAGGGGGAATAGGCATGTGGGGGGGATGCATCGGCCCCCAATCGTCCATTCATCCCCGACAGGGGCCCGATAGCCCGCTCCCGCCCAGGAACGTGCAGGTCTACTATCGGGGTCCTGTTGCCGATCTGTCGGCGGTGTATTGCCGATTCCAGGTCGGTGTTACCCCCCCCTATGCCAGTTCCCCCCTTGTCGTTGCCCCTCAGGACCGTGCCCGACACCCTCAACAGGTTCATCGAGAGCTCCGCCCGATGGAACGGGGGAGTCTTGGCATGCTACCCAGGCCAGTCTGCAGACCACGCCGGCGAGATGAACAACAAGCTGTTTCCCGGCGTGGATCCCCTGGACCTCTTGATCGGGAGGTGGATCCTGGCCAGGAACTCAGTGTCGTTTAACCGGCCCCCATCCCCATCCCCATCCCCTTCGAGACCCCCACCAAAGTACCACCCCAGTTGGGGCTGCACCCGTCGAAACCCGAAGGGAACGACCTATATCCCTATCTAGGGGGGTAAATCGGCCAGTGGGGCCCAGGCCACGCCGCTGGGGATGGGGATCGGTGAAGCGTAACTCAGGAACCACTCCATGACCTACCTGGCCATCGGCGACGGCCTGCGCCGCGCGGGGATGGAGTTCCTCCCGACCGCCCTCGCCCTCGAGAGCTGGGAGGTCGACAAGATCCAGAGGGCCGTCTTTTCTCCCGGGGAGGTGTCGAGGGCGACAAAGAGGGAGGTGATGACTAGGGGTGGGTGGAGATCATGGCGTAGACCATGATATCTCGCCAGATCTCATGGCGCCTCTTCTTATTTCATTGCGTTCCTGGCCCCCCTGCTGGGCCGCGCACATGCCGCCGGCAATGATTTGCACCCCCCCCTCTTGCACGCCCCCCTCTTGGCCGCCCCCGAAGGTGGAGAGGTTTGGCGCTGCGGCCAGCGCCGTGGAGTCTGCGTTCTCAGGCCAGGGTCCATTTTGATCCGATCTGATTCGATTTCGGTTTGAGCCGGCTCGGTCCGATTCGATCCCGAACCTCCGGCGATGCGGTGCGGCCCGACGTTTGCACGGCGCCGTTGTGCACCTTGGCGCCTCCGATCCGATTCGGTTTCATCTTCCGTGCCGATGCTCGGCGGCGAGCAAAGGGGGGGGGAAGTGAGAAGGGGCGGGACTTCTCAGAAGGCTCGGAAGTCCCCCAGCCTTCTGAGAGGTTTCCTAAGCCTTCCTCGCAGACACAGGGAACCCTTTCAGAAGGCTGGATGCCTCCCGAGAAGCCCCGCCGCCTTCTGAGAAGGCCTTCTTTTTCTTCGCGCCAAGATGCAGCCCGATCCGACGCGACGGTCTGATCCGATCGGATCTGCGGAATGTTCATGTCAGGCCCGGCGGCGGGCGCGGCCGAGGGCGCCGCAGAGCCGGGCCAGGTGGCGCCGGGCCCGCTCCGCAAGCTTGCGCGGCAGGTACCGTCGGAACAGGCGGCGTTAGCATTGCTGGGCTGACCGGGCTCTCAGGCTCCAGGGTGATCAAGGTTCGACGATCAATGTTTTCATGCGTTTTCGTCGGTTCTCGGCGGTTTTCCAGCCTCGGGGTGCGCTCCAGCAGCTGCGCCTCGCCGAGGGCGTTCCGGGGTCTGCCTGGATCGTCCCGAACGGCCGCTGGATAGCGGAGTTATGACTCGAAAATTCAGGGGCAGCGTCAGGGGGGGATAGGATCAGGGGGGATGCATCGACCCCCAAGCGCACATTGATGGCCGATAGGGACCCGATAGCCCACCCCGCCACGGAACGCGAGGATTCGCTATCAGGGGGCTGGGCGCCCATCTTGGCGATTCCAGCGCGATGTTCCCCCCCCTGAGCCGGAACCGCCTAACGTTGCCCCTCAGGTTGGTGGATAGGGCTGGGGGAGGTCGGAAGTGAGTCGTCTCGGAGGGGCAGCTTGCCCACCCCTGCCTTGCGAAGCAAGTGGGGCCGGCAAGGCTTGCTTGTCAGGCGTTCTTTTTTGTTCACTTTGTGCTTGCCATCGCAGGCCCCGAGCAGTGCATCATTGTACTCTGGATGTGTAGCTCATGTGGTACCAGCTACATTGCGCAGTCTATGTTGCACAATCCATCTACACGTATACGTATACATGTGTGTATGTATGTATACATCTATATATATATAAGGTGTTACTCACTCACTCTCTCTCTATCTCTATATATATAGGGTGAGCGCCATGTGGCACAACGTACTGGATGCAATGTATTTGGTGCAGTCTAGCTATGTGGTGCAATTCTCTTGTGAAAGTTGCAGCTGGCAGCTCCAATGATTGAGCAAACATGTCACCCTCCCATCCGCAATTTGTAGGAACAAAACTGGCGTAATAGCGCGAAGACCTTTCTGATGCAGATGGTGATGATGGGTGGCGCTGTTGACGAGGGCTGCGGCAACGACGATACAGATGACGATGATGATGTTCATGACAACGGTGGAGACGATGAAACGACGATGGTGATAGTGATGAAGCTGGTGGTGATGATGATGACGATGACGGTGGCAATAATGGCGCTGGCGATGCTGATGCCATGATGCTGGCGATGATGATGAGGAAGAGCCCGCACGCAGAATTTCAGAATTGTTGACAAAAACAGTTATTGAACAATCATTGGGGCGTAATATGTTTCGGAACACCTCCGTGTTGACATGTGTCCAACCCCATGTTTTTCCCAACCATCCTGTGGTGTTGGGTCCTCGTTTTGAAGAGACAGCGCCCCGCGTTCCTCTCCTCTCCTCTCCTCCTCCTCCTCCTCGTCCTTCTCCTCCTCCTCCTCCCATCGCAATCACCATCACCATCATCATCATCATCATCATCATCATCATCATCATCATCCTCATCCTCATCCTCATCCTCATCCTCATCCTCATCATCATCGTCGTCATCATCATCATCATCATCATCATCATCATCGTCGTCGTCGTCGTCGTCGTCGTCGTCGTCGTCGTCGTCGTCGTCGTCATCATCATATCATCACCGTCACCCATCATCCATCAGCATCATCATCTGCAGCATCATCCTCATCCACATCCTTCTCATCATCGTCACCATCATCGTCCCCACCACCCATGTCGTCACACCCCTCACACGTTTCGTGGCCCCACAGGGGGCCCCACCGAAGGCCCCAGTGGGGGTGCTCGCATGCGTCTCCCCCACGCAGGACAGCGCTTCGTGGCCCCATAGGGAGCTCCAGCGAAGGCCCCAGTGGGGGCGTTAGCATGCGTCTCCCCCACCCAGGACAGCGTTTCGTGGCCCCACAGGGAGCTCCACCGAGGGTCGCAATGGGGGCGTTCGCATGCGCCTCCCACAGACAGCGTTTTGTGGCCCCATGGGGAGCTCCACCGGCGGCCTCAATCGGGGTTCGCTCGTGCTCATGCTCGTGCTCATACTCACCCGCTCTCAGGCTCTCGTTGTTAGACCAATCGTTTTCTTCCGTGTTGCGTACCCCGCCACACATCGGCACGCCCCTCACACGGTTCTTGGCCTCACAGGGGGCTCCACCGAAGGCCGCAGTGGCTGCATTCGCATGCGTCTCCCCGCCCAGGACAGCATTTCGTGGCCCCACAGGGAGCCCCCCCGAATGCGTTGCTCACAAAGACGGTACTCACAACTGCATTGGTTGGGTCCTTCGCCAGGTTAATAGGAAGGATTTCGACGTGCCCGCGTGGAGAATTGCGTGATGGCCCGCATCATTTTGCGAAAGTTGGCGGGTGCGCTCCACCGAAGGCCCCACTGGGGGCGTTCGCATGCGTCTCCCCCACCCATGACAGCGCTTCGTGGCCCCATAGGGGGCTCCACCGAAGTCCAGAATCGGGGTGTTCGCATGCGTCTCCCCCACCCAGGACAGCGTTTCGTGGTCCCATTGTGAGCTTCACCGACGGCCCCAGTGGGGGTGTTCGCATGCGTCCCCCCACCCATGACAGTATTTCGCGACCCCAGGGAGCTCCACCGAAGGCTTCAATCAGGGTGTTAGCATGCGTCTCCCCCCACCCAGGACAGCGTTTCGTGGCCCCATCAGAAGCCTCACCGAAAGCCCCAGTGGGGTGTTCGCATGCGTCTCCCCCGCCCAGGACAGCGCTTCGTGGCCCCATAGGGAGCTCCACAAAAGGCCCCACTGAGGGTGTTAGCATGCGTCTCCCCCCACCTAGGACAGCGCTTCGTGGCCCCATAGGGAGCTCCACCGAAGGCCTCAATCGGGGTATTCGCATGCGTCTCCCCCACGCAGGACAGCGCTTCGTGGCCCCATAGGGAGCTCCAGCGAAGGCCCCAGTGGGGGCGTTAGCATGCGTCTCCCCCACCCAGGACAGCGTTTCGTGGCCCCACAGGGAGCTCCACCGAGGGTCGCAATGGGGGCGTTCGCATGCGCCTCCCACAGACAGCGTTTTGTGGCCCCATGGGGAGCTCCACCGGCGGCCTCAATCGGGGTTCGCTCGTGCTCATACTCGTGCTCATACTCACCCGCTCTCAGGCTCTCGTTGTTAGACCAATCGTTTTCTTCCGTGTTGCGTACCCCGCCACACATCGGCACGCCCCTCACACGGTTCTTGGCCTCACAGGGGGCTCCACCGAAGGCCGCAGTGGCTGCATTCGCATGCGTCTCCCCGCCCAGGACAGCATTTCGTGGCCCCACAGGGAGCCCCCCCGAATGCGTTGCTCACAAAGACGGTACTCACAACTGCATTGGTTGGGTCCTTCGCCAGGTTAATAGGAAGGATTTCGACGTGCCCGCGTGGAGAATTGCGTGATGGCCCGCATCATTTTGCGAAAGTTGGCGGATGCGCGACGATCTTTGGTTTTCCGACATGCGCACACGTTTGATCCACATGTTCTCATGTGACAGAGTGGCGAACCAGTACTTTATGGTGTCTTGAGGTTTCAGCGAGTACGCGCAGAATTATGGTACCTTGTTTTTGCTGAACATACCAATAGTTTGCGATAGTTTCTACATGGCTGTGTTCTAAAAAGTGAAGGCCACGGGCTGTTGAAATATTTTCACATGCGCTTGCGGCGGCTCGCGCATTTGGCCCGCCTTGCAATATTTGATATGGACCGTTGCAACTTTCTTTTCTTACACCAGCGCGCGTGCACCGTATTGTTTGTTGTGCAGGATGGCCGGGGGGTAGGGTGGTGTCGATACAGGTTGGCCAGGATGGCCTTACTTGTTAAATTGGATGAGGGATCGTCCAGAATACATATGGGAGAATACCCCGAAGGATACCGTGAACCCCGGCCGCGGTGGGGGTAAAGAGGGGATATAGGTTGTGCAGGCTATGTGGTGCAACCCATGTGGAGCAATACGTACTTGTACATCTGTATATTTGTATATAGAAGCTCTTCTTCGAATATTCTTGCATCGGCAAGCCCCGGATGGACCCCCCCCTCTCCCCGTATAGAAATTCCAGCCCGGGCGGTTCAGAGGTGCCAGGAAGTCCCACGCAGACCCCCACAAGGCCCCCAGAAGGCTCCCAATGTCTCCCAGGAGGCTTCTGCTTACCTTCGAAACGGCCCAAGGGTACCCCGCGACTTCCGCAATGGCCTGAAGACGGGCCAAGCAGACGCCACTGCGCTCCCAGAAGACTCCAAGAGGGCCTCCAAGGAGGGCCCAAGGAAGCAACAATCGCTTCAATCCTGCACGAAAGCGTACACGTTTGATTGAACCTTCCGCTTTTGTTCCTCAACGCAGTCCGAGACGGCCCAAGAAGCTCCCAGGATCGCCCCAAAATGGCATACACAGCCCGCAAGAAGGCCAGAAGGCGGCCCAAGACGACCCCGTGACAGCCCAAGATACACCCAGGACGGCCCAAGACAATTTTTCAGGATCCAAAGAGGGACCCACAACGGCCCAAGACGGCCCAACAACGCCCACCCCGGCCCCAACGCGGCCCAGGAGGCGCCGAAGACGGCCGAAGGGGGACCCCGAGAGGCCCCCGAGAAGACCAAGAGCGGGCCCCGGAGACCTCCAGCTGGTCCCCACGAGGCTTCACCGCTGCCTGCAAGAGGGAGGGGCGGACGAGAAGCGACAGGAGCTTCGCAAGCCCAAGAGAACTGTTTTTCCACTCCCAGAACTCGAGAACTACCCCTGGATGCCGGCACCGAGACACGATGCTGGAAATGCAACGTCGACGAAAGCTCCGCGCTCCCCTTCCTCTTCCTTCGCCTCCCGCTTTGTTACTTCTTTCTCCTCCTCATCTTCATCTCCTCGTCCTCCTCTACTTTTGGCTCCCTCCTTTCCTGCTGCCCCTCCCCTTGCTCATTGCTCCCTCGTGCTTCCCTTCCACTCCTCTTTCACTGTTTGTTTCCCCTTCCCTTTCATGCGCCACCTTACTGCTCTCCGCGATACTTCTCACCACCGTTTCCTCCTATACCTCCGAGTTAGCATGAGCGCCATGATCCGCATGAGGCCTACGGTCCCGATGCTGCCGCCATGCGGCGTGCGCCACAGTTGGCTCCTCCTCCTCTCCCTCCTCCTCCTCCTCCTCCTCCTCCTCCTCCTCCTCCTCCTCCCTCCTCCTCCTCTCCCTCCTCCTCCTCCTCCTCCTCCTCCTCCTCCTCCTCCTCCTCCTCCTCCTCCTCCTCCTCCCCCTCCCCGTAGCCATGTTGGTTCAAGACGGAGCTTATCTCCCGTCCCGACTCCAGAGGTTCGAGGTCGAGATGAAAGGGCAGCCCCTTCCCAGGCCTGGCTGCCTCGGCCAGCGCACTGCCTGCAGGTGGCCATCTTGGCAATCATGGCACTGTGTGTGCCTCTCTTTTTCTTCTTCCTTCCTTTCGTGCTCGCGCCATGGCATGGCGTGACAGAGCCCCGTGGCGTGGCGGACGTGGTGCCAAGGCAAGGTGGGGGCGTGGCGGCAAGCAGAAGGCCGCCAAGTCTACCCACCGCGAATATGATGTATGTTCCGCATGTGACCACTGGGATTTCACGTGCCACCGCAATTGGGTTTTCTCGAAGTGTGGTGGAGTATGCTTTCGTGATGTCGTGCAAGGAGAAGGTGGCCAACCCGCTGGTGGTGAAGCTGGGGGGGAACGGACAAGATGTGCCCGAAGGAGACCCTCA